AACTGTGACCTCTGTAGTCCCTGGGTCACTGGAGGTGCAAAGAGTGATGGATGCTGAGTAAAGACCCGTGTGACAGTGCAAGTCATAGCAGGAGAAGGAATTCACCCTGGGATGGCTTAGGCTCTGGGACCCAGAAAGAGCTCCTAATTCTTGCTACAGTGTCCCTTCCTGTCAACCCCCGACCAGTCACCTCTTCCTAGAACTTTAAGTGGGTTCCAGACTCTCAGGTCATGTGTATACCTAATGTGAACACAGAGGGCACCAACAAAGGAGAGGAAAAGCACGATTATTCACTGGAAAGGATGAGGATTTTTCCCCAGCCCAACTCTGTTACACTGCATATCCCAGAGACGGCACTGAAATTCCTTCATAATACAGTTAAGTGTGTTGTTCCCTTCCTGTTCTCACATTCCTAAATAGTCACTCAAACATGGTAATGTTATTGAGGTTAATAAACATCCCTGTTAAAGATCAGAAGTTAGGATAGGAAGGAAGCAAACACTGGTGTTGTGGATGACGTGTCAAATACCGTCCTGGGATCTTGATGGATTTTTCCCCTTGAACTCCTTACAGCACTCCCTTGAGTGTAAGGACCAGGATATAGACACACAAACACATGTATAAACATACATATATACACACACACGTACATATGTGTGTACATGTGAGTGTGTGTGTGCACGTATGTTATATGTTAAATTAGCAAGCTGGATGATAAGAACAGTTAATGTATTTGTGCATAGTGACAACACGCAGAAAAATATTTTGTTTAGGGAAGTTCTCATATGGGGTAAAAGGATATAGCAATGCATGGGAATAATCATCATCCCTTTCTGGGTAGTAATCATCCCTAGGGCAGAAAGAAGGAGATACAACCAGGGAGGAGTAAAGCTTTTTTCTTAATCTCAATTGATTTTATAGTTCTATGCTTTTCATCTGAAATCCTTCATAAGTAGTAGCACTTTTAGGAGATACAGTTTTTTTTATCATAAACATAATGTATAGTTCACTTAGCACATGTTTAATATTTTCAATCAAGTACACAGTTGAAAAATATCAATACCCAGCAATCCCATCACCACTGAAATTTACACTAAGCTATTGCCTTCCATTATTTTCCTCTGCATGCACATATGCAAGTGTAATATACATATATTATATACACATTTCTTATAACTATTATTTTACTCCATATACAGTTCAGTATCCTTTTTTTGTTGTTATTTTGGTTTTGCTTTTATCTTAACTATTGTCTTGAGTACCAGCACATGGAGAAAGTGTTCTGATTAAATGGCAAGGGATAAGACAAGATGTAAATGTTTTTTAATGAAGCCTTGACCAGTGGACACAGCCTCAACTCTTGAACAATGTATCTGATTGGAAATGCCATACTTGTAGCATATTAAATAATCTCACATGTTGGAGTCTGCTCATGAGTTTTCTATAGACTTCCTTTAATGTGTGTGTCAATCACTTTATTCAACCATTATAAAAAAATCACAGTTCTGTGGAACATTGTAATGCCAGGCAGTATCATCTTCACTCCTATCACTTCTTTGGATGGGTGGTAGGAAAAACAATAATAATTTAAAAGTAATAATAAGAAACAATAATAAAAGGCAACAGTGATCATAGAACACATAATAGATAAACTGCTTGCTTAAGACCATGCAACCAGCAAGTAATGGGTCTCAGTGTCAAATCTCAGTCCTTCTGATTCCAAAGCCCTTGCCCCTAAACACTGTTTCTATACTGAATGCCCTTCTATATTAGAGTTGAGGCCAGCATTGGGGAAGGGACTCACCCAAGGTCCTGCACTCAGTTGATGGGTCTGGCTACTGGGACGCGTTTGATGACTCCCATCTTCTGTCTAGCAGACCCGTTTTTCTTTCTCTTCTGTACTATTTCTTCTTCCTGGAGCTCAATAAAAATTGCTTCACTCATATCAAACTAGAATGAAAATAAGGAGACAGGAAAGCATGTGGAAAAAAAGAAACGATGAGATGGAACCAAAATTCACTTCTTGCTGATACAATTCCAGATGCTGTTTCAAATCTTCTGTTTTATGGGACAGAGGTGGTAGGATGGGCTGGGAGTAATATATCTCAAAGTCCCACTACATGCCAGATGTTCTTTGAGGTTTTTCCCTTTTCTTCTTACAAGAAGCCTGGAAGTAGGCACCTTAGTAGGCACCTTTCACAGATGGCCAAGCTCAGATTAACAGAGTAAGTAAATTTTCCAGGGTCAAATGTCTACCCTTTGCCTTCTACACATATCAACCAGCAGCCTCCTGTTTAGATGATGGATTTCCAGGGTTTAAAGACTGATGGTGGAAAACTTGCCTGATGTGGAGTCTGGGCTGTGTCATGCTTCCCACCGGACATGAAGATGATGGTGGGGATGAAATCCTGTCCCATGGGCCAAGAGGCCTGGGTGTGGGGGCCACACAGATGGACTGACTCCTGAGATGCTGAACTAGAACCAGGAAGCAGCTCAAGCTGTTGCCCTTTGGAAAGAGAACCTGAATGGTGGGATATTGACATATACACAACTACTATATAAAAGATGTTTTACATTTTATCTCATTTAATGCAAACAATTATGTTTAAGACTACTAATTATCTCTATTACTCAGATAAAGGAACAGAAGTTAAAAGTTAAGCAACCTGACCTAGGGAAACAACCTTATAAATGATTGCTCCAGGACTGAAAATCTGAAATGACACAAAAGTCTAAGCCTTTTCCCCCTCTGTCCTGTGAACTAACACTCAGACTACTTCAAGGCATTATTATTCAGTTATTCTTCTTAAAACAATTGAGTGAAGCACTCTTTGAATAATGAAAATCACTATAATATGTAAAATACCATGTGAATACCAAAAATTCAAAATCAAAATGTTTGTTAAAAGTTGGGAAAATCATTTACCACTTATATTCAGACATAAGGTTTATATCCTTGATGTGCAAAATACTCTTAAACAATAATGATATGTCAATGATATGAAGAGATAATGTGCATAAAAAGCAGTATACATTTCTAATAAAAACTAGGAAACATTCCATGTCAAATAAACAAATTAAATGAATATGAATTATATTAAGTGAAATAAAGAAATCATAAAATAAAAGACTATGATCCCATTTCTGCAAAAGAATGCACATCATCATGGGTGTGTACGCACATGTGTGTCATTAAGTATAAGTCAGTGCATTATATGCAAAGGAAAATCTGGAGAGTAGACACCAATAAATTAAGAGATGATACCTGTATTATGATGAGAAGAAGATGGAGGCAGAAGGGAGAGAGAAAATAATTTCAGTTTCTTAACATACATTTCCATATTGTTTAATGATTGCTAAAAAAAACATATTGACTGGCAATCTGAAAAAGTTTTATAAGATAAAGAGATAAAGTTTTGTAAAATAGGAAAACCTACAAACAAAGCCACAAAATGATAGTGTAGAGATACATTTATTAATTTAGAAACATGTTCATATACTGTTGTGTGAAAATAACATTAAAGAGATTTCTTTGATAATAATTCAATGTGTATGGGTTGATGGGAGAGAGAGGATACTTTAATTGTATAAATCTGCATTTCTATAGTGTTTTAAATGTGGAACATTTATTGTACAAAATGTTAAAAACATAAAATAATTGTGATCTGGTTATAAATATGATGTTTATACATTCATTGCTTTGGAAACATGTTCACAGTGTACTGTTTTATGAGTAAAAGAAACACATCAGGACAATTTATTTGACACTGCTTCTCTGTATGTTTGTCTGCCTCAAACCTCTTTATATGAATTATTCATATACCAACTCATGCAGCTTTCCATTTAGTTCACATAGGACTGGGCGTTAGGGCTTGAAAATCCCAGGATAGGCACAAATATTTAAGGATCACCGCCAGTGTGTGGAAAATTACAGAAAGCTTTGGCCTATACCACGGAATTCATGCACTTCCCTAGTCCGCCTTCCATTACCTCACCCTTTGCCAGCCTCAGAGGTCCTTCACACCTGCAATTGTACCATAAACCACCAGGTGGCATCGTTCTCCATTTTCTATGGATTTTTTTTTCCCAAAGAAAAGGCATTATTTTTTAAAAAATAGAAACAAACAATTTCTTTAACGTAGACAAGTAAATAATAAGTATAGTGTAATCCCAACTCTCTTTGAAAATTTCATATGTATACAAGACTGAGAGGATGTATACTTAATTTTGTTTCCTGCCTCTAATGTGCATCCACATCTCTTTTATTTAATACTGTGTACTGTCTACTGTGTTCCAGGCACTGCAAATCCAATTCCACATCTGCATCCCACACCTTCCCTCTCTTGATCTCTAGACCTGAATAACTGGAAATGTGCACAGGGAGCAAGATGTATGTTAGTGCCCACCCGAAACAGAACCTATTCCAAGCAAGTATAGTCCAAGCTTCACGCCAAGTCCTGGAAACCCAGTGTATAAACAGGAAATGATGCAGTTGAGTAGGGAAGGTTTGTCACCTTGGGAAACTGAGACACCTTATAATCCAAATGTCTGTCCTTTTACATACTGCTAACCAGCCACTACCTTCTGACAGGATCTCACTCTCAGATAGAGAGTGAAGGATGCACTAACCCTTGTGTGATTTCAGTCTGGGTTCTTCTCATAAGCATGAACTAAGGTTTCACTGTCTCTTTACTTCTTGGCTAGGTCTCATGGAAGATTTCAGAACTGGCTCTGTGTCTAGACAGACACAGAGGTGGATCCTTAGGAGGGTGATCCCTACCATTTAGTCATCTGAGTGGTTCATCTGAGGTGATGTGGAGTTTCTGCTTCATGTAGGATCTTCTCCACAAGTAAGCATGCCTGGACCCAGTTCCACAGGAGACAGAAAAGAGTAGAGATCATGTTCTCAAATACAAGCACAGGACCAGGACCCTGAGCTGAACATCTAATTCTCCTGATTTAGTGGAATAGTTTTTGTAGATTCCTCACATGAATGGACAGCTCTCCTCAGCACTCCCCTTATGCCCAACACCCCAGTATGATCCATAATTCTCTCCTCTACCTCCTGCCTATTAAAGTACACCCCTAGGTAAATTTTTCTATAACCTGGTAGTGGTGAAAATGTGTTTAGCTACGACAAAATCCAGAAGTAATAGGGAAAATAATAATACATATGAATTTTTTCATAAAAAATTGAATGGCTAAAAAAATCCATCTGCAAAGTAAAATGAAAAACTAAAAACTGGGGAAAATATTTATAATTTAGATCACAAAGAGTTATATCCCTAATGTGTAGAAACCTTATGAAAAAGTGAATGTAAAAACCAATAACATGAGAGGAAAAAGGAGGACAATAGATACAAGCAGGTATTTCACCAAAAAGATGTAAATGCCAGAGTGAAAAAACAGTCTTTAAACACAAGAAAAATGCTCAGCCTAACTCATGATAAGCAATGCAAAGAAAAAGAACTATAATGAGATACCTCTTCTTACCAATTAGATAGTCTGTGAGGACACAGACATTTTTATATATTGCTGGTGGTAATATAAAGTGGTACTAGCCTTATAGGGGGGATTTGATACTATCTAGTACAATTATATAAGTATTTACTATTAGAACCAGTAATTTCTCTTTTAAGAATTTATCCCCCAGAAAACAATGCAAAAATACAAAAAGGCATAATAAGCACAAGGCCATTCCTCGCAGAACAATACGTAACAACAGAAGATTAGCGACAAGTCAAATGTCTACCAGTAGGGGGCTGGTTGAGTAATCTAAAGTACAGCGACATCAGAGAGTACTTGCAGCCGTAAAAAGCAATGAGGACTCCTGCTCTAGATTGTTGTGGAGTTATCACCAGGATGTAATATTAAGAGAAAAAAGCAAGGTGCAGAAAAAAACATGCAGAGCTGCTCCTGTCTAATATGGTAGCCACTAGCTGCAAGCAACTATATAAATTTAATTTTTAAAAATTAAGTGAAATTAAGAATTCAGTTATTCACTTATACTGGCCACATTTTGGGTGCTCAATGGCTACTTGTTGATACAGAGCATTTTCACCTCTGCAGACATTTCTATTGGACAGTGTTGGTGAAGGCTGTGCCACCTTTTACATGTGAATGGGGAAGGAAACTAATATATGTATTACATTTGTTTTTATATTTAAAATATGGGAAGTTAAAACAAAAATGGACAAAAACAATTACCTATAAGCAGATGGAGGAGCAGCCCATGATGCAACGCAATGACGTGCATTCTCTCAAAAATATAATACATATTTACAGACTCCATGTGCTGAAAAGGTTAAGAAGCAATGACCAGTCCCGTAGCAATGCTCAACTCTAGTCCTCAGACTGAATCCTCTGAAAACACTTCCCACTACATGGAATCAGGCTTCATTTTAAGTCTGAGTAGGAATTGTACCAGGTGAGTCGACCAAACTCTCATATCAGAAAGCACATCAAAAAGACTCCAGCCAACCTGAAGGGGTTCCCTTTGGACAAAGAGAACAATCTGAATATCAAAAAGATTAACGACTATGGTAGGTTAAACCACATCAAACATATAAGCATCTTTGAGATCATTATGGCACTTTAAACAAACTCATTGCTCACCTTTGGTGAATCCCAGGGAAAGAATGCATTATTCTGAAAAGTGGAAATAATGCTAAAGAATTATACATATATTCCTTCTACTCTTCCTGTGTGTACCATACCTCAGTGTAACCTCATAGTTCATGAGGGAACGTTTCTTCATAGAAGAATTCCGGCTACTAAATTCAGAAGAAAGTATAGAATTAAAACATCTCCCTTCTGCAACCTTTAATGAAATGCAGATCTAGGCAATGATTTTCAGAGGCTACAAAAAAGATGAGGTAAAAAGCAGATGGAAATATTGAAAACGGATAGATCAGGCTGACAATACCTGAGACCCAGTGATCAATCTCAACAACACAGAAGGAGAGACAATCAGATAAGATGAGCCTCCAGGTGAAACACTACAGGAAGTACACCACCACATGTGAGGTGCTCTTGCCAAAGAACCTGAATCTGATCAAGTCTCTAAATCTATTTACAATTTAAAGGAAATAGGAGGGGGCCAGGTGGAACATAATACGGATACAATCAGCAAAATCCAGAAAGCAAACTCCACAGGACCAAAGTTATAGTTTCTTAAGCAAATTAATGGGAAGGTTAAAAAAAAAGAGGGTACACATTCTTTAGATTAAAAAAGACACTTCAGGGAAATTAAAATTAAAATCACATGTGATAACTGCCACACATGCAGTAGGAGAATAAAAATGAAAAAGGAGGGAAATACCAAGTGTTGGCAAGGATGTGGAGCTAATGGGACTCATACACTGCTGTGGGGGAATAGACTGGAACAACTTTGAAAAAACTCACTGGAAGTACCTACTAAACTGAACATACCCATACCCTATGACTCAGAAATGCCACTCTTAGGTATATGCCCAAGAAATGAAAAAAAAAGTCCACTCAAGACAGTTCATAACTCTATTATTCAATAATAAGTCAAAAAAACTGGAACATACCCAAATCTCCATAACAGATAAAGATACTGTGAAATATCCACATAATGCATTGTTTTTATAATTAATCTCTTTTTGCTTTTCTTAAAACTCTAGTACATGACAGAATGACCCCTGAAGCATAATTTCTACATGAAGGGATATGACCTCAGCCTAACCTCAACTACCATGGGCTGAGAAAGTTCAAAAAAATGTCTTTTTCTTCTTCTAAGTATACTGGTTCAAAGTGAGGGCTCTGGAGACAGAGTCCTGCCATGTACAAACTGTGCGAATCTGAGTATTATTACTTCACCTTACACTCACTCAATTTCTCATCTGCAAAACCACGATTATATAGTACTAATCCTAAAAGAAAAAAGTTTTTAAAAAAGATTGCCTTGTGCTTTAGCTTTTACAATGATAAATGATTAAGAATCACATTATTTTAAAAATTCAGTTGCAGAGATGTTGGAACACTGCACTCTCTGTGATCTTGAAAGAGTGAAAAAATCTCTCAGTGCCTCAGTTTCCTTTTCTGTAAAATGGCAAAAACAATCGTACATACCTTATGGGTTGTTGTTTTGAGAATTGATTAATACATGAAAACTCTTAGAACACTGCTAGACATACAGTAACAACTCAATAAATGTTAGATGTTTTTAAGAAATATCAGTTGAGAGTTTTATAATTTTGATAGTTTCAGTTTGCATATCTCTTTAATAAAGCTTATGCTCTAAAAACTGAATACTACTCATCAACTGATACATATTTTAAATCATTAACTTTCACTATAACCACTGTTGAATGACCTAACTGTCTTGAGAACCTCTCAAAAGCACTTGGAACAACTGACTTCAGGAAACACACCACCATTTCTACACGTGACCAAACATAAAGCCAAGGGGTCATCCTAGATCCTGTCTGATCCTCATACACCCACCCCCCTACAGCCACTGCAGGTCCCACCTGTCCTACCTCCTACACCCGCTGTCCAGGCCACCCCGCCCTCTGCACACTGCTGCAGCTCAGGGCCAATCCACTCTCGTCCCTCCTCTGGACTCTGCAAGCTTCTCCTAAGGGTTATCCCCACAGCTATCCCATCCCTGTCCAGTCCACTCCCCACACAGCGGCCAGAGTCAACTTGTGAGCACGTGAATCAGAGCCTGTCACCCCCACACGCTAACCCTCTGCCCTAAGAATGAACTCCAAACTCCTGACACGGCCCGGACCATGTGGCTCCTGTCTGCCCTCATCTCCCACCACCTTCACCTCGTCTGCCAGGCCCCACCCACACGAGCTAGTGGTCGTCCGCTCCTGCAACCACCAGAGCCACACAAATCACAGGGCGAATGACCCAAAGGCCTGCCCAGGCCAGGTGTCCTCTTGTCATTCAGGATTCAGCTCTAATGTTGCTTCCTGAGAAAGAGCCTCACTGACAGCCTCATCTATAATAATCCCTGTCCCCATCATTTTCTTTTCTTTTTACGTATTTATTTTCATCAAAGTGCAAATCCCCATATGAAATTGCCCCGTTTATTGATTTATCTCCTTACTGCCAGTCTTCCCAAACTAGAATGAAAGTTCCAGGGACCCTGCCTTTCTTGTTCTCTGTGCTGTGTCCCCAGTGTCTCATTCAATGCCTCCTCACATATATGTCACTGAATATATATTACTTAAATCAAGGAATTGTTAACCTATTTGACACACAGGAGCAGACACATATTTAAAGCTGTCAGAAACAAATGACAACAAAATTAGACATCAAAGGATTCCAAATTTTAAGAATATATTGTTGCAAATCCATAGCAGTATTTTTCAAACTTGGATGAGTACTATAATGAACTGAAGAAATTATTCAAAAGTAGACACCTTCCATCCCACCTCCCTGGTTTTGATTCAGCAAAACCTAGGGTCAGCCTAGGTATCTATAGTCTTAACAAGCATCACCTGATGATTTTGATAAGGCAGTCCATGGACCATAGTCGGAAAATTCCTGACCTAAACAGCTGACATTTGCTTAGCATTAGTTTCATGCCTGCCATGCAGACTTCTATGATATCTGGGATGTGTTTGTTAATGTAATTGCTTCAAAGTGCACTGGTCCTTTGGTCCACTGGTCGGTGGACTGCTTTCCCACATGACACTGCACTTAAACTCCACAATACTCCTGGGTGGTGAGGAAAGGGTAGTGACTTACCTGAAGTGTCCCAATGATGGGGCCTGAGCTCTTCACTCCTGCTCCAGGAACCTGTCTAGCAGACTCAGCATCACACTTGGTTCTTCTCTATCAGCTCCTGTTTCTGGGGCTCAGAGTCTACACCCTTCTCAGATGTTCCACTAAAAGAGAGAGACAGGGGAATCAGACAGCACGTGGGATAAAGAGAAAAGTGAGAGGATGGGAAAGCACATGAGACAGAGGGGAAGGGGTGAGGATGTTCTGCCCGTCCCCACTCAGTTCACTGGAAGCTGTGCAGTGATGCTTTGCCCCTTTCCCAGCTCCATCACACCGCCCCTTCCACACACTGCAGTGACACTGAAGCTGTCACATCATGGAAATGTGGGCTTATCCCTGCTTGCATCACGTGTCCAAGTGTTCTCCCTGGAAGTCATGTTATTATGTTAATATCAGAGGCATCACACTGACAGAATTAAGGAGATAAAGCTGGAATGTAGAAATACAATTTGATGAGGATCTACTAGTTGCCATACATTGTAGGCATTGTAGGTTATAATTTTTGGACTTTTTCTTTTCAAGTCCTCAAAGCAATTCTCTGAGGTGGGTGTATTTACTTCCTTTCTACAGATGGGGAGATTGTCAGGCTCTGAGAGCAAAGTACATGATAAAAAAAAATTCTAGGGAGGTGTCAATGGACATAGAAGCCAAATTGAAGGGGCTAACATTGGCCAATTCTGTGACAATTTGAGCATCAAAATATATAATGATAGTAACAGATGTAGCAAAGGTAACCCTTTGAGCAAAGTAGGAATCTGTGAGTCATACTGATACAAATATACATGAATAAATACATAAATAAGAAAGAGGGGAAAGCTCTACCCTGAAGTCAAATCCAACTAATAAATCTGGAAGGAATGAGGGAATTAGAAAAGCAACATTTGACATCTACCATAGTAACAAATAACTCAGCCAGGAGTCAAAAATGGATGATCTGCACGAAATCCCACAGCAGTCACTGAGCCACCGTGGTAACCAAACTGGCCAAGAAAAGCTGCGAAATAGAAACAATTTGGTTCCTAACCTGTGCTAGGAACTGAATAGAACAGACATGCACACACACATACGCACATGATCTCTCCCTCTCTGTCACTACCCAAGACTTTGCCTTATTCTCCCTCGCACCTGTTTTTAAAAGGAAAGTAGCTCCAGGACACCCTGGAGCAAGACACCACACTCACTGGGGCCGGGAGGGGCCCCTAGGGCCCATCTCTCTGCCTCACCAGACAGCCGGGGCACCGATTCCCAAAGCAGGAAAGACACGACTTGGATCCCTTTGTCTCCCCACACCTCAGGGCTGTTCAGCCCCCACGGCGGGAACCTACACCCTCAGTTGAGTCCCAAACACCTGAGGGCGGGACCTGCTCTTCTCGTCAGACCACGTCTGTCTCGGTAGAAAAGTCGTCACGGTCGCCACATTGACGTCAGGTTTCTATGGCAACCACGATGCGCAGACTAGTCCCCCCCTCCACCGGAAATACTACTGCACACCCCTCCACCCTCTGGCTTTTCGCTTGAAAGCAAAACATCTTCGGTCTTCAAGCTACTACGTGAGAAAGCATCCTAATTAGAAGATCTAGACTGGGACCTGGCAACTGGCGGAACTCTGCCTAGTTTGGTGAAACAAAGTGTGTCTCTGCTGTCAGGAATTTTGTTTGCTTTAAAGAGACTGTAGGGAAGTAGTATCAGTACCCAGAGACTCAGGGAGGTATCCTAGGATTCTTGCAGATAAGCTAGCCCTCAGAGCGTGAACATATCAAATCACAGGCCATGCTAAGCAGTTAGTTATCTGTGGCAGAAAATTAAGACGTGGTCTATGATTATGTGACTGAATGATGTAGGAGCACCAAAAGATGGTTTGATGATCTTCCCTTACCACAAATACTGCATAAAAGTCATCCTACAAAATAGAAATGGTCCCCAAACTTCATTCTACACATTTTGCTTCTTGATGCTACATTTTGGTGGTCTTTATGGCAGTTATGCTATATGGTTTAGGTCAAAGCCGTTATTTCTCTGGAAGACAGGAGAAAGATGTGCCTTGATTAACATTTGTTGAAGTCCTACTACATGCTATACACCCTGTACACTATTTATCATTTGCACCTCACAACAGTTCTGTAAGAAATACATCATGGGTCGCCTTTACAGATGACCAAGGGCAGCCTAACAGAAGCTAAGCAAGTATTCCAGCATCACACGTGAAGTTAGGGGCAAAAATGAGGGTTCAGATTTTGCCCTTATCACAATATGCCAATATACCATGGATTCTTAACAGAAGCAACATCACTGCCAAGGAACTGAAAATTGATTCTTAGGGATGAAGAGATCTTAGATAGTACTACGTTTTGTTGCCCTCAGAAAGATGAAGGTATATAAACTGATAAACACTACATCTCTGTATTAAACATTTCACATTCTGTGGATGGGGCAATGATTGGGGGAAAAAGTGTCTAAGAAGTGGATGATAATGAGAGGCTTGAGAAACATTGTATATACTCAGTGACCTAATATATGTAGATGATGGGCCGCCAGGACTTATGGACTGGTCATTTTACATCCCCTCATGGATGCTCAATTCTCAAAAACCAGTCCTAGTGGTGGTGGTGGTGATGATGATGATGATGATGATGATGATGATGATGATGGTGGTGATGATAGAGAAAATGAAATCCTGCCCCTGGGATCAAGAAACCTGGGTATGGAGACCATGTGAATTGACTGAATTTTAGGATGGCAGGCAGGGGCTCAATCAGAAGAATAGGTGTTTCCTCTGGAAAAGATGATCTGAAGGGTAAGATATTAATGTTTTTAAAACTAATGTAAATGGAACTCCAAATTGTGTCTTTTTTAGTTTCATCATTTATTCAAGTTACATGTTATTAAATCCATAATTCAGATCAGACCACCATAAGTTAGAATATGGTTAAGTAAATCAGGGAAACTTATGTGCAAATGCTTACTCAGTAGCTAAATCTGGAATTACTGTAAAGCTTTTTGCATTGTGTCCTGTAGCTGCTAGTGTTCTGAATGCTCTAATCTTCTTGAGAAATTGATACTATCCAATATATTGCTTATATTTTTATAGTGAATTGTTTTATTTTTAAATTAAAATAGTATTGTAATTTAAAATGTTGTATATGGTAAAAAAAATTAGCAAAGCTTGTCTGAAAAGGCTAGAGTAAATATTTTCATATATGGGGCTAATTCCTGTGATATATAACACATGGGCAAATGATTTGGTAGGCAGCCTTCAAGAAGACACTCAATGACCCACAACTCTGTATTCGTGCCCTTTTGTAATCATTTATCCTTCAGTGTGGACTGGGGATAGTTTCTTCTAGCGAATAGAATACTTGTGATGTATTGGGATGTCACTTCTGAGGTTAGTTACAAAGAGGCTGTGGCTTCATTTGAGGTACCCTCTTATGCTCACCCTAAGGAAAGCTAGCCACCATGTTGTGTGTTGCCCACATGTCAAGGATCTGATGTCTCTGGCCAGCAACCAGTGAGGTCTGCCAACAGACCGAAGTGTGAGCTTAGAAGTTTGTTCTCACCCAACTGACCCTTAAGACGACTGTAGCCCCAGCCTATACTCTATTTTTTCAGTTATACATATATACATATTATGTTTCATATTATTTTTGATCATAGGTTATTGCAAGCTATTGAATATAGTTCCCTGTGCTATATAGTAGGATCTTGTTTATCTATTTTGTATAAAGAAGTTTGTATATGCTAATCCCAAACTCCTAATTTATCCCTCCCTTCTCCTTTCTGTATGTCTCTGAGTCTGTTTCTATTTTGTAAGTTCTCCTGTGTCATTTTTTAGATGCTATATAGGTCATATCATACGATATTTGTCTTTCTCTGTCTGACTTACTTCACTTAGTATGACTATCTCTAGGTCTATCCATGTTGCTGCAAATGGAATTGTTTCATTCTTTCTTGTGGCTGAGTAGTATTCCATTGTGTGTGTGTGTGTGTGTGTGTGTGTGTGTGTAAGACATCTTCTTCATCCAATTATCTGTGGATGGACATTTAGGTTGCTTCCATGTTCATGTCTTGGCTATTGTAAATAGCACTGCTATGTACGTTGGGGTCCAGCATATATTTTATTTACATCCCTGTGAAAGTCTGGGCCAGAGACACCCAGCTAAGCTACATCCAGATCTCTGACTCCCCAAAATGGTGATTTAATACATGTTTGTTATTTTAAGCTACAATAGAACATTGGGGACCAGGTATACCATAGGGTCTTGGAAATTAGTTTTTCCTGTGCTGGTCTTTTTTTGGATAACACCTCTCAGATAGATGTAGAGTTTAAGGAATACCATCTGGGAAAGCACATATGATAAAATGTCATGTAACTAAATACACACACTCATACAGAAATGAGTGCATATAAAATGCATATAAAGTGCACATAAAATCTGAATAAGGTTAGTGGATTATATCTGTCAACAAAAAAATTAATCAGTAAGCAATCTAAGAAAGAAATGGAAAATTTTATTTGACTAAACCTGAGAGTTACAACCAGGGAGACAATCTTTTAGAAAGAGGTAAATAGGGAGACCAGTATATGTGTGATTTTAGAGAAGGGATACATACAGTCAAACACACATCTTGGTAGAAGGTTACTGCTATTTGCAAGGAGCAGATATCTTAGTTAATGATTTTAGTGCTTTTCTAAGTATGAGAAGATGCAAGAAGCTGAGTTTATAAAATTTTTCTCCTGAATGTATCTAACTATCTGAAGGGTCTGTCAAAAAAATCTTCATTTTTAAACAATGTATTAGTATTACTGATATTTGCAATAAATTGTCACCAAGTCCAAGCTCATAGCTCAATACCACTCGCCACACAACAGGTGAATAAGTCAGGAGACGAGGTGTTGGGGCAAGGAAAAGCAACTTTATTCAGAAAGCCAGCAAAGTGAGAAGACGGAGGACTAATGTTCTTTAAAAAATCATCTTAATTTGGGGTAGAATTAAAGCTTGTTTTATGCTAGGAAAGGGACAAGCAGGAGGAGGTGAGATCAGGTGATGAGGAATAGCCACAAGCAGCTGGGCACTGGCCATGGTCCAAAGGAGGTTAGGAAAGTTCTTTGTTCTTGGTCAGTTGACTCCCATTGACGTTAATCGGATTTGGTCGCAATGTTCCTGCAGAACTAGATAAGACAAATGTTAATTTTTCTTGTTCTTGTTCCTTATCACCTCTGGGAAGGTAGAGTTTCTTCGAAAGGAGGATATCACTTACACCCCAAGCTGCAAGCAAAATTCCTTCAATGATTAACACGCTTATGTGCTGAGCTAGCATGACTAAGCAAAGGCAACTAACAACACAAAGATAAGAACTAAAATAGCGTTCAATATGGAGTCAGAGTTGTTCTTGCCTGTTACAAAATTAAGCCAGAATGATTTTAGTAGACTTTGTTTTCTTGTAGTAGTTTCCTAATACTGCAGTAACAAATAACCACAAATATGAAGACTTAAAACAATACACATGTATTCTCTTACAGCTGTGGAAGTCAAAAGCCCAAAATCAGTTTTACTGGGCTGAGAAAAAGTTTATTCACAGGGCTGTGCTCCCTCTGGAAGTTCTACAGGAGAATCCATTTTCCTGCATTTTCCAGCTTCTAGAGCTGCATTCCTTGGTTCATGGCTTCTGCCTCCATCTTTGAAGCCAGAAGCTTAGCACCTTGCTTCAGTTGTCACGTTGCCTTCTTCTATAGTAGAATTTCCCTCTGTCTCCCTCTCATAAACACACCTGTGATCATATTTAAGGCCCACCCGTATAATCCAGGATATTCTTCTCATCTCAAAATTCTTAACTTAATCACATTTGTAAAATCTCTTTCCTAATTCAACATAATTAACACATCTCTTTCAAGGACAACATGCAAGGTACCCATTGTTAACATGAAGTAAACTCATGCAGGAGAAGCTAGAGAGCCAGTTTGTTTTTGTCTTCAGTGGTGGTGAAAAAAACCATTTGGTGCTGCTACCTCTGCTAGTTGTATGTGATTAGCTAGTTGGGCCATGATCATGCCAAGGACAGCCAAAATGCATGCAAGTGGATGTGAAATATGTGAGGGAAGTAAAAGCTGAACTGTCCTGCTGTGGAGCATGCACACCCTTGGTACAGTGTATTATACATGTATTATACATGTATTATACAGTGTAAACATATATCTATATTTTACTGTTGGAAACGATTCTTCAATCTTTCAACAAGAAACAAAAGTGCATATTGTATTAAAAATTAGGTAACAAACTGTGTTTGCTTAAGAAAGTATCTGATACACATTTAACTCACACAAAACATTTGCTGATGTTTACTATGCACCAAGGGGACTGTGGTGATATTATTGACCTCATGAAAACCCAAATC